CAAGCAGTCTTGAGGAACATCCCATCTCACAGTGGGCATATATGGAGCCAGAGAAGATGGTATGAACATTTTCCGTTCTCATAGCTCGATGGGGATTTTGGGTATGTATACCCTGTGAGGCAACACCAACCACCCGGTGGGACCCTACAGAATGAACGAAGGACTCCAAAAATTGTATGTATACCTCTCAAAGTAGGTGGATGATTGAATAATGGCAACCTGTGGAAGCCAAAAACTATCAAGAGATAAAACAGCCAGAAGGTGTAAAAAAGGAGATGAACGTGTGGCGAGAGACTACATGCTCATCTGGAGAAGCTTGTCCAAAGGCTGACGAAAATGAGATGAAAGACAATAAAAACAAAAGTGACAAATCGAATGTAAAGAAAAGTGAAAAAGTCTGTGAACATCCACATCCCAAGATGAGCATGTCATTTGACGGATTGATGGACCCACCCTGTAAAAGAAGAAGGAAAGAAGCATTTGGAAAAAGAGGAGTCCCAGGGTATTGACAGATGAAGACAGAAACCCCTAAAGGGAGAGACTTACGATAAGACACATTGAACAGCCCAACAGGAAGAAGGTGCTGAGCCAGATACAAATGGTCCAGTATGGTCATAGTTATTTTTACGTGCATTATGTACACATTGTAACTTGTATGTTAATAAATGTATAACTGTTCGTGGCATATACGGCTTATTTAAGCTTTTATTCACACGTAGTTGTATTTTTAAACTTAAATGGCAGTGTTCCAATTTTTGTCTAAATTTTATGCATATGAGTAATTTGGAAATAGCTATTTACCTATGTATTTTGTAAGAAAAATCAAATGTGTAGTAGCTCAATGCATATGTTATTAATTTCAATCCTCTACATCTTGATTGTCAAAATCTGTTTGTTTTGTGTGTGTTTGTTTCTATACTTGTGTACGGTTATCAGGCTTTATTAAATACACGTATAACATTCAAGATGATAACTGACGAAACTCGTGTGCTAAAAACGTAACTAAGTTATTACTGAGGTGAAATATGTTCCAGTAAGATAATATAATATGCTTATTTATGAAAAATGTTTATCTTGTTCTGGTGCCATGTATCGTTCGAGAGGGATATGATTTTGTCATGGTGTCTGTAGGTAGATATGAAAAGTTAGATGTATGTACAAGGCAGAAAACCTAAAGGATCAAACTCATGTGATAAAATTTAATATTTGAGCACATGTTTTCATATTCTACAAGTGACGCAATAATCACTGAAAATGACGCCGTACTCGTGACAAAAACCTGATATTGAGAATTCCAAAGGGAAATGACGTCGTATTGTTGGTAATGAGAGCGTATGTGTCAAGTCATAAACCATAAATAGTTTGATATAGATTGGCTACTCACCGAACAAGGAGGTATTTATTAAGAAGGCTTAGACTTTTAGCCCTTTCCTCCACTTCATCTTTCATCGTATGAGGACTTCCATTGGTTACTGAAATGTGAACACTTGGCTTTAAAGATAAGAACGTTAATGAAAATTGTAAATTACATTTCTCATACATATTACGTTGATATTGTGAAACATTCATTGATATAATTTTATCTGGTGATAGTCTATGCCACTTTATTTTAAGATAGGTGAAATTTGTATTTTGTGTATTAGAAGCTCGAG